AATGATAAGGGTGTGACAATAGCGCCACACTTGTCGCTCTATAGTGTGATAGCCAACCTCGACTTGTACGTGCCGAAGTCTGGCAAGGGCAAAGAAAACCTTAGCAGGGAGAATGCCTGATTCATTGGCAGGGACCCAAATGGCTTTGGGGTGGTCTTCATATTCGTCTCTGCGTATTTGCTCTTTGGAGAGCACCTGCCTGAAACTTTTATGGATGACCAGTTGATAACCCTTGTTTTCCCAGAGCTCCTCGTGGATGGGGTCACAGAGTGGGCTCAGGGTGTCTTCTGATATGAGCATTAGCTCACAACCAAAGGTGTCAAGGTCAAAACTTCTGGCTAGCAGCTCTACTAAATAGTCTTCTAGCATTTCCCAATGATGGTAAATGCTAATAGGCACAATAGTTTCGATTTCTTTTCCTGCTAAAGTGTATAGCCTCAATGGGCAGTGACTGACTCCTGCAGTATCTTCTGTGTCAGATTCTCTACTGTCCATGAGGCAGTAGGCAGCCGCACGGCGAGTTGTGTGGGAATTAGTCACTGGTTTGAGCCAGTGGCAGCAGTTGTAGCCTGCCTATCCACGCACTGCGAGCCAGATCTGGCTGTTGTGACGACAAACGACGACAGACGACGAGAGACGACGACACGACGCAAGCCACGCAAACACCCAGGTCTGTCACTCCTGGTGTCCGCCCTTTTCCGCTGGCCATGTAGCATTTCTATTCATTCCCCAAACAGTTCACTGTTAGGGGTTCTCAATGCTTCACAGAATGGTCGTTCTTTTCATTTGTCTCCCAGGTTCTTGCGGAAGGGGCAATAGCGCTGTCAGTGACGCTTAGCGGAGGTGCGCTGTTTGCCAGTTGAAAACCACTCCAATTCCCGTTTTTGCCCGCATACCCTGACTGCCACTCGTTGCAGTGGCCAAGGTGGTCAAGCCTTGACGACAGAACGAAGCCACATTTGATTGGTTTCGCAGGCTCTCCGCTTTGGTTTTGTTGCTTTGTTTGTTCTGGTTTGCCTTTTGGGGGTTTCTTGTGTTCTTTTCCTCATCATCATGTTGTGTTTCCGGCTGGCTTGTCTCCCACTTCCTTTCATTTGTCTCCCACTTTTCACTTGTCTTCCAGTTCTTTTCATTTGTTTCCCACGCTTGTGGTCGGGCTTTCCATTCGCCTTGGTGCTGGATGGTCTGGTCGGGTTCCCGGCCGGCTTGTCTTCCACTTCCTTTCATTTGTCTCCTGGTCTTCCCAGCTCTGGACTGCTGTGTCCGCCTCTTTGCGATCCTTTACATCTGTCTTCCAGCTCTGGGCTGCTGTGTCCGCCTCTGCCTTGCAATCTCAAGCAGAGTCACCATTTCGGCCTCACCATCGACGATTCAATGAGCCTACAGGAATGAGAGCCTTAGCTTCTCGTTCCCAAAAGGCGGGTGGTAGAGAATGGTCCTGGAAGGCGGCTAGGGGGAACCTTAGTTCTCTGCGGCGGCCATGCCATGACCATTACTGTACAAAGAGGCACAAGTACCATGCTAGGATAGGTCCATGGTTTCACCTGTTTCACACGGGCCTTGCACGTACCAGAAGAATGCGTGCACGGTAGCACCTCTCTTTCTTTCAGGAACAGAGTGTGCCGCTTTGGCACTTCTTGAATGCCAAGGGGTGCAAAGGAGACCTCCCTTCGGGGAGGAAGGCAGCATCCTAGTCAGCAAGCTCTCCTCGTTTGCCTCTGCCACTACTGCCTGACCATTGATATGCCTCTCGCTTCGTTCGTGCAATCAGTTGAAAGGGTTGTGCAACGAGAAGGGACTTTTCCACGGCATGCTAGGCAGGGCAACAACTGATCTCCCTGGGCAAGAATCAGACCTGCTGACAAACAATGCAGCTCCTGCAAAGCACCCATTTGTCACTTTCGCCACTCGATGCAGTGGCCTTTTGGTCACAGTTTTGTGGGTGGGGCGAAGTCCCTTTGATTGGCTTCGTTGCACTCCGCTTGTGCGCTGACCCTTCCGACCGACTTTCGTAGTGAATTCAGGCCCATGGTTAGTTCACAGCCCACTTTTCTCACCTGTCTCACCTTCGTACAAAGGAAACACTTTTAGATGAGGGGGAGTCGGCCTCTGGCCTTTTGGTTGTGTTTGGGGGGGTTCTTGTTTGGTTGGTTTTTGTTTGCCTTTTGGGGTTTGCTTGTGTTCTTCTCCCCCTTATCATGTTGTGTTTCCTTTCCCTTCAATGATGACCTGGGCACTCCGCCCACACGGCGTCAAAAAAAAATCCGCCTCTGCCTTGCAATCCTCAATTTTACATGTGTCTCCCAGCTCTGACTTCAAGTTTTGCAGAGTGTTCCGAAAACACAAACTGTTTGGGGTCTACGGTGGTGTAATTTGGCATCTCGTGAAAATGTGCTTGGTTGGGTGGGAGGGTCACTGTCATGATTGAATTGTTATTTTGTGAAGGTTTTGAGTTTTTGTTCAAGTTTTGTGGATCCCTTGTTCTACAAGCAACTGGCGTGTGGTCAGTTTGTTCGGAGAATCAGACGGAGACCCCCAGACATGGAGTTTGGGGGGCCTGGTTGGTGTGAACAACAAGAGATTGTCAGCACAATCTGCCCATTTCTAAACCAGATGGTTAAGAGGTGAATATGTTTTGGAGATGTGGACATTTGCCCTCAAGGTTTGTCATAGAGGAAAACTTTCTGAAAAACAACTTGCACGGTTGCTTCATTGCTGGCATGAGACACTGCCATGGTTGGTGTGCCTATATTGCACATTTTGGCTCCAGCTAATTGAGGTATTTTTTCGCTGCACTGTGACTTCCAAGTAGCTTGGCTGCCGAACTGGAGCTTCGTGGCAGGTATTATAGATTGTCAATCTATGACATCATAGTGTGCATTTCTTGAGATAATGGGATGTTCCATGTTGTTTCAATTTCTTTGGGATGCATGAGGTGCTTCAGTGTTGGGTTCGCTCAATGCAGAGCACCACACTGTGGTGAGGCAGTTTCTGCCCAAAAACCTTCGTGTTTCAAATGTACCACAAGATGGGAAACCAGTGCGTTCGTCCAGCCCAATTCTCTCCCCCAACTGACATTGACGCGCGTCAAAACTTTGTCTCCCGTGTGCCAGGTGTGACCTACTCACATGTGACTTGTTGTAGGGGTCGAAAAGAGTGGGGAATTCCTAGGCCATGCCAAGCATTGAGGAGCTGAAGAAGTTCATTAAGACCCATGAGGCCAAAGTAGACAGAAGAAGTACATCGGCCTCAAAGCGCGGTCCATGAGACATGGAACTCCAAAAAACACATGTTGAGTGTTGTTTTGCTTGCGTGAAGGAAAAGACATGCTGGGGTAAAGGTCGATGTGCTATGTTGTCACAGGTCAAGATTGATGATGCAGAGCAAGAGGTGGCCAACGAACCCAACAAAAAGAAAAAGAAGGCGGGAATAAAGGTGGAAGGCCAGTTCTAGGGATTGTGAGCAAAGGCAAAAGGTGGCCAATGTGCTCGAAGCTTTGCCTTTCCTTTGGGTGGCTGAAGGCATCCTTGAATCTGAAAGACTTCCGTGCACATTAATTTTGCAAACGGACCATGCCCAATGTTTTTTGGCTGCTTCCAGCGCCTGATGCGAGGACTTGGAAAATGCCTTGAAGAAGCTCCAGAACGATGAGAAGTATGTCAAGGTGAGTGATGATTTTCCTCCTTCACACCCCGATAGGCCGATCGATGGCCAGACTGTCGATGGAAGTGAAAAATCGATGGACGGTCCAGAGAGCTTCGGGTCTCCACGTCTCGTGAGAAGGCCGGGCTGCAGGGTCGACTGCCGTTTGAGGCCAAAGAAGAAGTAAAGGCTGCAGAAGCTCAGGTGGGCTCGTTTCATGGCCATTCTGACGAATTCAACGAAGGCCGTGGATTACAAGTGCCTGCGACAAGTGGTGTTTCTTCAGCACTTGGCATGGACCAGAATGAAAGGGCTACCGAAGCAACCACCAAACACTTCATCCCCTTGGTTCAAGCAAAGCCAGGCTCAGAAAGAGGCTGAACGTGCAGCACTGAGCCCTGGTTGCAAGGTTGAGAAGTGCGTCACGTCATCAGCCATTTGTATTGATCCCCAAATTATATAAAGTCAATAGCAGGAAGAAGTATTTTTCGGCTTGACTCATGCATTGGAAGGGCGTTTCTGCTTTTGTGGAGACCATTGTCCAGACACAAGCATAGGAAGAATGAATGGCTAGAGTATGATCTCCGAAGGATCTCGGAAAGGCAGGCAGATATTCTTTGTGACTCATTTTTTCTTTTTCGACAGGTCAGTGACTGCAGGTCGCTAAAGCAGTTCCCACCAAAGCACTCCTTGGACAGATGTTTCGCAGTCGATCCACTTGGACACCTTTGACCTCATCGGTTGGGACGGACGTTGGGGTAACTTCGGCTGAGACTTCTTTCGCATGATTCGGATGACCAACAAATTCACCAAGCACATCTCTTTTCGCACTCTTCAATGCCACTGAGGAGTGGCAAGGCCGCAGACAAGAAGGCTGTTCGCCGGAGGGATCAAGAGGGATCAAGAGTTGTCCACCTAGGCAAATTCCTGAAGGTTTGGAGCCCGACAATCTCTCGACCAGGTCCTCCAACATCCACCTGGAGTACCAGGTCATTTTCAAATGACCTCGAACTCCACCCTGCATGTGCCGGAGGCTCTAGGTCCAACAGACCATTATTCCTTCCAAGTTTGACACATAGATGCTCTGCTGGTAGACTCGGCTCACTAACTGCGAGAAGCGACTACATAAGTGCCCAAGATGTTTCCTGACCTGGACCCATAGCCAGATTGGATTTTTTGACGTTTTTGAGTTTGATCAGCCAGACTTGATGTCATGGACTTTGAAGGCTTGATGTCCATTCCTGGAGACTTCTGTGCAGAAACAACATGTCATAAAGACGTTCGAACATCTCTGCCCTTGTTCGACCTCAGTCGAAACGGCCGCTGTTCTCCTCTCAGTCTCACGGTGTTTCTCCCAGGCCGATGCGAAAGGCAAAAAGAAAGAGGAGACCAAAGCTGCTCCAAAGGCTGATGCCAAAGTGGATGAGGCTCAACCACGGAAGGAAGAGACTTGGGGAACACAGCTCTTCCGCCAGAACGTTCGATGGAAGCCGCGCTTCGATTTGCAGAACGTCTGGACCTCCGGATGTTCTGCAAGAAACGTCCTGGCTGCAAAGCTTGCGGTGTTGATGTGCCTGAGTGTGGTTTCCGCTTGTGAACTTCGCATTGCTATTGTTCACTGCAGAGTTTTCTCACTGTCCAAGTCTCATTTTCTTCGCTCTCGAACCTGGGGACAGTCGAGCTCGACTTCCTCATCAGGCCACTTTCAAAGAAATCGATGAAGCCTTCGCGGCTTCGGGCAAGGATGCCGCGGATCGCAAGGCGCGGATCACTCCGCGCGGCTTCAAGGGGCAGAATCGATCGCGCGAAAGCGAGAAGGAGATCGACCTCCCTTGGATCGATGGGAGAAGGGAGATGGGATCGACCCTTGATGATAGTTCAACCCCCCCCATATGAGGAGGTCTTTACAATCTAAAGGGGAGGTTAATCAAGAGTCTACATTTTTCAAGGGGGTGGCGCAGTTCGTCAATCTCTTTTGTCTGTTCCGTGCCTGGCAAGGCCACCGCAGTGAGTACTTTGGAGATGCTGGCAGCGGCCACACCCTTCGTCTTGCCCAGGCCGTGCAGCTCGACCATGGCTAAGATGGGACAAGTGGCCCCTCCCTTGGCAGCACCGTGTAGGCTTTTGTCTCAAACTTCAGGAACTTCCAAAAGAAACCAATGACCGTAGGCCCAATGACTGCAGGGGTCCCACGGTTTTGAGTGGATCTCATCTAAGATTCACGATGCAAATTGGACGCAAGTGAGCTCACGTGGATGAAGGGAAGTGCAGTTCTTGTGACAACATGTGGGAACTACCTTTGAAGTATTCATCATGTGGATTGGTTGCTTCACGATTTCTCAGTGTGCTTTTCTGTCGTTGGCAGTACATTGGCAACATGTTCAACGATCCACCCGATCACTACCTGCTTGGGTGTGCAGCCTTCGTCGGCTCATCGAACCTCCATGCTTGTCCCTTCATGAGCAGCGCCTTCCTGAACGCGGTGACCGGAACGTCCACTAAACGCTCACCGGAACGACCACCCAGTCACTACCCAGTCTTCACGGGGGGTCCCTTCGCTAAGCTGCATTCTATTGCCAAGCCTCCCGGATTGCTTTTGGAGCCGTTCCAGGTTGCCACAACTGATCCCATTATTCGACAACAGCAAACTGGCGGCTCCTGCCCTCAAGGCTGGATCATGTAGAAGTTGCCCTCATAAAACTTTTGCTTTCAATTATCAATGCAGCTTGCTTTTGCGAGAGAATGTCCTGTACTCTTGACATGAACACAGGTCCAATTTTTGCTCCAATTTCCTTTTTCAAAATCTTGAGCCTTGAGCACCCTTCAGTTCATGAAGTCGAGAGAATGCAGGAGCATGTTCCATTTTTGGACAATTTGGAAGCTCACATGTCGAACATCTAGGCTCTTGGCCCTCCAAAGTGGCCAGTGCCTGCGATTCCTCCAGACCTTCCCCTCCCACCCCGCCTTTCGCGTCTGGAGGCCGCGACGGCGATCGTGGAGCAGATCGCTCCCGCGGGCCATTCGGTGGCGGCGGGGGCGCCGAGACGGAAGTGACGGAAGTGACGGTGGAGCGGAGGTTGGGTGTTTTGGGTCCGGTCTCGTTGTACCCGGATCTCCTTTGAATGGGAAGGTCCTGCTGTTTTGCAGAAAGAAGGGACAGACATGTTCAGTTGGTGGAGATTTGGTGCAAGGCTTGATCAGTTTGATTCCGTTTTGTTCATGATAGAAGGGGGATGCAGCCATGTCCAGTCAATGAGAATTCCCCCGGGCAAGACAACAAGACATAGACAGCAAATGCATTGGTCACCAGGTTTGCAGCTGTCAGGTATCCAAGCAGCCATCCCATTGGCCATGATATGTATATGAATAAGTCTTACGAGTTGTACGCTTTGGCTGTCCTGTCTGAATCCTTCCCAAAAAAATGTGAAGGTTCTCAGTGTGATGAAGATTGTTGTGGTGCGGGAGAACAGGAAGTCCATTCAACCTGTGGCATCACCTATCCCTATGCTGATAGTGA